AAAGAATTAGGTATACGTTTTCAGACTGATTCCTATAACTAATTGATATGTCTTTTTAATTATTTCTTCAGAGACTTAATTTTGATGACACTCACATCGAACATATTTAATTAATATGCCAATATAAAGGGCAAACCTTATTGTATATGGGACTCGTCTTACGTTGAAATTTTATCAATAAACAATACAATATTAATGGAACACATAAAGGGACTGTTTTTACGTAGTCGTATAGCAACTTGTGCTTTCGACCAGTGTTTGCCTTTATTACTCTATTTTTCTAATAAAAGGATTGCGTTCAACGAAAGTATGGAACTAAAGGGAATATCTAACTTGGGACTTACTTGAAAAAGGTAAAATGCTCTGCCCAAAAATGGCCAAACAAGATTTCATCAACAATTATCAAAGCCTCCTAAAATACTGCAGTTAATCAAAAACACTTTTTCGTTTCTCATATAAATATACTTGATATTAAAAATAGACATAAACTCGCTCAAAAAAATGCCGGACTAAAAATAGTCACCTGCGTGTTTCTTTTCACGCAATACAATATTGACATTCATAGCGGCTAATATCCGGCACGAACATTTTGTGTTGGAATTGAATTTGTTCGCGTAACGTAGAGATTACCTGAGCTACATACAAATGTAGAGGTTTACAAGGAAAACTGGAAAAAAGATCTTTATATTTATCTTATATCGTACTAAAAATAGCATTTAGATTTGTTCATTTAAATTTGGTTACTGCAGCATATTTTATTTACGAAGGTTTTTGTAAAATATTGAGGTGTCAGAAACTATAGAATACTATTAAAAATTATAATTTAACAAGTGATGTCAGATTTAATGTATTTTATAGAATCAAATCGAAATTTAACTCGCACTTGAGATAATCTTATTTGGATCATAATGTCCTATACGATACAATACACGAGAATATTATTATCCTAGCTGTCTTACATGAACATTCTGTATTGTACAGATTTTTTACATAAAATACGGGTTATTAAAAAAAATACATAATACACGTATTACCTGGTTTTTAACGCAAACATCAGTGCAACAATTACCGACGCTCCCAGAGTCATATTATGGTTACTTAGTCAATGTATAATGCTTTCATCGAAAGCTTTAAAAACAAATTATTGAAGAAACAAGAATCATTGACATGGATGCGAGTTCTGTGGCATTGAGCATTTAATTAAGAGGAAATCACAAAGAAGCCGAATGACAGAATATTGCCTGTGAAATAAATCAATTACTTCTATTGATGGACATTTCATATGAAACAAACATCACAACTGAAATTGAACGAAACCTTTGAGATATTCAGCCCAAGGCAATTTGAATAGTTTAACCGCTACAGGCTAAAAATCTCATAGCTTTTGTAAAACAAAGCTGAAATACAGTACAGTTAATAAATCAGACAGATAGCTATATTAAGTTCGGATTGCATGCCACTGATCAAAGGGTTGCATTTTGCAAAAATAAATTCGTTCTACGTCAAGTTGATACCGTTTGTAACATTCTGTACCGAGATTTTTAAATGTAAAAACATGATCTACATACGTGAAAGAAAAAAAAAACTCATTAAGCAGCAAGGTTTTATTTAAACGTTTTAATCTTTATGTAATTATCGGAAATTATACAAAGTAAATAACGTTTTTATATAATAGTAACTGGAATTAACGATTATTATTGCGATGAAAGTCGAAACTTTTCAAATTTCTTCGAGTTTAAACAACTTAAATATTAAGGTACGTGGACGTAAAAGAAAAGTTTTGACCTAAAACTCTTGTATACCTATCATTAATCTCGAAACTCTCAAACACTCCTCTAAGAAGTAATAAAATTATTGAAGCATGTTTAATCTGATATCATGTCAGCGTCTTTACAAAATCATATCTTAAATATCAACATTTTGTACATAAAATAAAATGATTTTGATATATGAATCTTTAATTTGCTAAATTTCATTTAGTCAACATTTAAAATACTTTCGATATTCTGGGATTTTGAAAACCATCTGTTTAAAGTATTTGCCTTGTTATTAAATATTCTTTTAATCCAAAAAGTCAGTCAGGATTTTCTATATTGCTTTTGTTTTAAATAGTCTCAGATCTCCAAGGTGTAGAAAAATACCAACACAGTAGCAAACTTTAAATGAAGAACGTTATAAGACTATTTACTTCTACATTTTTAAGAGCAATTTTTTTCTAATTTAACAAATTACTTTACCACTAAAATATTTAGGAAAGACACCAACATGTTTTATAAAAGCTTGCTCTATAAACATTTTACGTAAAATTTGTTTGCGAGAGTCCTGCGTGTAAATCTCTACCAAGATCTTTATATGCAAAGACATGTTAAGAAAATAAATTCTTGTAACCGCAGTCGGGTTCAAAAGACTATATTAAATTCTACCCTTGAGCGAACAAAGGAGTTAAATTTTTCGCGCGCTTTCCACTAACTGAAATACATCCCTTTAAATTCCATTAAAATAATTTATTAAAAACTTTTTAATAAAAAAATAAAACCGACTTCCAAACAAAATACACGAAAAACAAAACAAAATGCACTAAAAACAAAACAAAATACACCA